TGATTTCCAGTAGTGCCAAGTTCAGTAGACCTTTTTAGTTAATCAGCTGATACTGTATCAGTAACGACATGTAGTGCTCTGAAATTATGCCTGTTATCCTCTTGAAAAGATTATTTTATTGTGTTTTTGGATCCCAACCCAACAAAAATTACTGTACAACTTTTTTTTTCATTTCTTTCATGATTTTTTCTGTTTTCTTCTGTCTCATCTCAGAAAGTCTTTTGCTTTATTACTTTGGGAGTCAAGAGGGATATTTCATACCTACTTTGCAGATTTTTTGTGAATATTAGGAAGAAATTATATAAGGAATCCGCTTGTGATAGACGTTCAATAAACGGTTATTATTAATAATATTAAAAGACACCTCCAGAATGAGAGAAATTTAAGAATTGTACAATTTCACCTTTTCAGCAAAATTAGTTTACACAATAAAGATGCATGGAAATTTTGCTAAGCATATATGCAATACAGCAGAGTTTCTATTTCAGAAAACTCGACACAACCTAAATGTTCATTAGGTTCATGGAACAATGAAATATTATTCAACTTTTAATAGTAAAGAATATGTACAGACCTGAAAAGATGTTCAATATAGGGGGGAAAGCAGATTTAAAATTATTATGTATATCATTATTTCATTGAAAGGACATGTAGCAAGGCAGAAAATAATTGCCTTCTAGAGATAATGAAAGCATAGATAATTTTTCTTTTTTAATTTATTTAGCTGTAATTTCTAATTCTCATAGGGACGATACTTTGCGCTTTTTTTTTCCTCTCTTAAAATAAGAGAAAAAAACGATCTCTTTTAAAATTTATATCAGTTCCCTGGAGATAAGTCTAATTTGAATATTCGGTTAAACAGTGTTGATGTATAAACATAGCCATTTTCAAAACCTTGCTTTCGGTTAGTTAAAAATTTAATGCAGTTTTCAGAAGAGTTGGTGGGAGAAAACAAAAGAAAACATGGACAAGTTGTATTTACAAGCAAGTATCATAGGGTCACTAATCTTTAGGAGTTTTCCCACCCAGCAAAGTGTCAAGATTATCAACCAGAATATCTCAGGAATGCTGATTGCTCAATATTTGTCCTTCACCTCATATAGCTGGTAGGGAGGATTCAATCTTCAAGGTAATGACCGAGAAATGAAGGAAATGAATTTCGTGAGATTTGGGGGAGTAACTGGGAATTTCTCTTTGGCCTGTTAGTGGTAGATGACTCAGTGTCCTAAGCGTAAGCCTCACCTCTCTGAGGAATGTGCTTTGTACACCTTTATGAGCTATAACCAGGTGAGGAAGCACTTCAAGGGCCTAGAAGGGGAGAGAATTACATGGAATGGTGCCATCCCCAGTGTATATTTCTAGCGGAACGTTTGAGAAGGGAAAGACCGAGCCCAATTTTCAGGATATCCATCTCATTTCTTGTTGTTCTTCATTTGTAATCCCATGTATTCATTCGGGGCTTTCAAAAAACACTGCATCACCATGGGAACTGAGCACATGCATACATGTGCACACACACAGGAAAAAATACTGGCTGGGATAGGAGAAGAGTAAGGAACATCGCTGCCCTCAGAGAGCGTATAGTCTGATGTGTTCAGGACACAGCTATGTGCGTTGCCTGGAGGTAGGGGGCTGGGGGCAGGACTTTAGAAAGTGCCAGGTGCTGTCAGGGAAGTATCTGGCCGCTCTGTGCCTTGTTTGGAATCCATTTCACTTTGGAAGCCTAGACCTGAGCCTGGCCACCAGCCTTGAGACTGTTTTTGCTAAAAATAGGCACAGCTGGAATTAAGAGGCCTTCCTCTGCAGGAACATCAGATTTCATTCTCAGAACGCCTACCATGCTTTCCCAGTTTGGATACTGTCATGAGAAAATGCTCCAAATATGAAAATGTCTTTAATGAGGATTTTTTAATTCAGAGGCAAAGGACTGAAGGAATAAATTGACTTAGAACGTGGGCTCATAGGATGACCTATGTTTGAATCTCTGGTCCTCCTCCGTCATGTGGTCTTGGGAAAGCTTTCTTGCTTCACTTAAACTCATTTGTAAAATAGAATTAAAAATACTTGGGGCAGGGACCCCAAATGGGTGGCTCAGTTGGTTAGGTGTCTGCTTTTGGCTGAGGTCATAACCTTGGGGTCCTGGGATCGAGCCCCGCAGCAGGCTCTCAGCTCAGGGGGGACCCTACTTCTCCCTCTCCTTCTGTGGCTCCCCCTGCTTGTGTTTTTTCTCTCTCTCAAATAAAATCTTTAAAAAAAAAACAAACAATACTTCACAAGACTTTGCAAAGAGTAAGAGAGATATACACCTAAAGCAGTTGAATAATAAACCATCTACAAGTGGCTGCTGTGATGTCATCAGTCGTGATGATGCCTGGTGGAGCCTTCTGCACAAGCAGCATGGTGGCCTTGCTTAGTGTATCCTCTTAGTAAATATGTCGATGACCCCACAGCTCCAGGAGATCAACTTAGAGCACTTTTTTTTAAAAAAAAGATTTTATTTATTCATGAGAGAGAGAGGTAGAGAGACCCAGGCAGAGGGAGAAGCAGGCTCCATGCAGGGAGCCTGACGTGGGACTTGATCGCAGGACTCCAGGGGCCTGCTCTGGGCCGAAGGCAGCGCTAAACCGCTGAGCCCCCTGGGCTGCCCACGTAGAGCACTTTTATTCAAGTGTGTGTACCACGTTTACCTCGCACGATGACACAGGATCAGAAACCACAGTCATTTGTAGCATTTCTGGTCTTCGTCCTGTAGTTTCCGAGCACTTGACCTGGATGCCAGCTTCTGTTCCCTTTGCTCCCATGCTCTCAGCCTGAATTCTGCTCATTTCTTGGCATGCCGTGGATTCCAGGGCCCGCCTCCCTGCCATCTTTGCCTTTCCAAGCCATAACAACTGCCCAGCCTACCTCCTCCCCTCTTGCAGTCTCCCTTTCATTATTAAAACAGCTCCTAGAAATATTCCAGAAGCTTTATTGGTTGATAAGAAAAGTGATCATATCCCTTGGCCTTTTCAGCGCCTCTGCCCTCCACAGAGAGGAAAAACAAACTAAAAATGAGGAAGACCCTGGATGCAGAAGGTGGAAAATGCAACCCAGGAAATGATGGTTTCCCAGGATGGGAAAGGCAGTCCCTGGCCACCCGCTCGCCACCTGAGAGCAAGTCCAGACGCTGCTCCCAGAGACTCTCTTAGGAAAGGAAATTGGTAGAATTTCTGGCCCTTGAGAAGAGGTTTGAGGTTGAATCAATACATACATTAAAAACAAAGGGAAGAGGCAAGACCATGAAGAAAAAAGTTGTATGGGACAGAAAAAAATGAATTTGACATCCCTGCACGGCTTAGCTTGGAGTCGATTTGCATATTCATGAGATGTAAATTTGATGGTGACCTAACCAAAATTATGTAATTAGAAGGATGGATATATTTATGGGGTGGGGGCGAAGCTAAACCCGCTTCCATAGCAGAAAGTAAGTTATGTTCAAAATGGAGAAGGCAACAAGTAGCAACAGCAGCATGTTTCTTAGAAACATGGACGTATCCACCCAAACACTCGGCCAACAGAGCAGGTGCCTTTGAGGAGAGGAAAACTGGAAGAGGTAAGCGGGGGACTGCTCTCTTTTTAAATTAATCTTGCAGAATTTCAGGACTTTTTAAACTTCATGCAAGTATAGCTGATAAAACATTAAAACACACCAAGCACAGATGCAGGGCGCCTGGGTGGCTCAGTCGGTTAAGAGGCTGCCTTCGGCTCAGGTCATGATCCCGGGGTCCTGGGATCGAGCCCCAGGTCGGGCTCCCTGCTTGGCGGGGAGTCTGCTTCTCCCTCTGCCCTCCCTTTTGCTTTCTCTTTCTCAGATCTTTAAACACACACACATGCACACACACGCACACACGCACATGGGCCTAGCAAGCAAGGCAAAAAAGGGAGGTGCGAGTAATGGGAGAAAAATAGGTCACAGATCTTATTCATAAAAATGTGTGTGGTTTGGAAGAATATTCATCACCTCTGGATTGAATAATTTCCCCCTCTTTATAACTTTTCTGAATTTCTTGCATCAGGAAGGTGTTCCCTTCCTAATAAGACAAAGAGCTATGTCATGTTGCAGGAAAGGAAGCAGCTAGGAAAGGGAGAGGAGAGCTAGGTACAAATATGATTAGGACGCCTTGTTCACGATTGTGAGAAATCCGAGGCAATGTGTCTAATCATCAGGAAAAGCATAATAAACTATGGTGCACGTGCCCAGGTAAACAGGCCAGTCATCTTTAGCTAAGCCGCGCTCTCAGTGTAAATGCTCTTGGCCTCCCTTCCCCACCCTTTGGCTGCCTTCCCTGACGGGTCCGTCGCCCAGAAGCCCCTGACACCCACCGCCGTCACCTACCTGCCCTGCCCCCCGTCCCGCTGTCCCCGCTGTGAGTGACCCCTACTCCGTCTTTTCAAAATGCCCTGAACAGGTCTACCTGTACGTGTACCACCTAATAGGATAATTACCTGTCCCGCCCACTGACCTTTATCCTCCCTTCCAGCCGGGACTGGGTCTACTTCTATTACTTCAGTGCCGAGCACAAGGCATAGTAAACATTAGGTGCCTAATAAATGTTTGCCAGATAAAAATAATGGGGACGGGGCGCCCGGGTGGCTCTGGGTGAAGCATCTGCCCTCGGCTCAGGTCATGATCTCAGGGCCCTGGGACCCAGCCCCGCATCGGCCTCTGCTGGGTGGGGGGGGGGGGTCTCCTTCTCCCTCTGCCCTCCGCCTGCTTTGCCAGCTCGCTCACTTGCTCTCATAAATAAACTATTTTTTAAAAAGTCCTGGGGGAAATCTTTGTCCTGTTAAGTAGATTAGAAAAAGTAGCACCTGCACTTCAGGTTTATCCCAAGAATTAGGTGGGAGAATCCACGTAAAACAGTACGATGCCAAGCACAGGGGCGTCCGTGACAGAGGATGGGGGGACGGCAGGACTGCTGCGAACGGGGACAGGAGCTGTGTATTTTCTGTTTCCACAGATAGCCCCAGTACGGGCCTTGGACCTTGTGGCTGGATTTTGGTGGCTGTGTCGTTCCTGTTCACGGTCATAACCTTCCCAGTGTCAGTATGGATGTGCATAAAGGTAAAGAATACGTCGCTTGCATCTGCGAGTTAGGTCAGCCGCTAACCTCACAAACCCACGTAGTGCGTGTGGAAAAGAGAGACCTCCTGGCCTGTGATGCTTTCTCCTTCATCTCTCCCTTGGAAAATTCACTCTAGTCGCCTGCTGTGGTGTAATTTTAGGACTTCCTTTCAGCCACTCTCCAGGCAGTCCTCCTGGGTTAAAGCAAGGGTCACCGTCTGGAATCTGAGGCCAGGCCTGTGGGGTGGCCCCGTGCAGAGTCAGGACGCAGAGGTTTGCGACCGGCTCCATTGTTCACTGTGTGACCTTTGCCATGTTTCCTCCCTGTAAAATGGGAGGAAGTAACAACACCCACTTTATGGGGCCGTTGTGAGGATTAAATGATCTATCTAATCATACTTATTCCAATGCCTGGCATATGGTTCAGTGTCCCCCCCACCGCTGGTTATTTTCTCCATAAAGTTATTAATACTTTGATAAATGACTATTATTTACATACTCCTCACATATGCTGCCAAGAATTTTCAGATCCGTTTATTATTACTATTATTTAAGGAATCAGGAAGCAAAACTATATAGAAAATTTAGTTGTTCTGTTTTGGAGTTTTTTTCTGTATTAACAACACACGAGTAACTGAATGTTAGCAGCTGAGGAGTAAAGTTAGGGATTTGCTCCTCTATACTACCCTATACTTCCACAAGTTTTATACAGTGAAGAGCGCTTGCTTTTATAATCAATTTAAAAAACTAGTAAGTACATACTATGTTTGGTAATTAAACATTGGACATGTTATTTGTACATACTGTCTAGATTTTACTTTATTTATTTTTTTACGTTTTATGTGTTTAAGTGATCCCTATGCCCAGCATGGGGCTCGAACTCACAACCCCGAGATCAAGAGTCGTGTGGCCTAAAAGATGGAGGCAGCCGGGCGCCCTGATACTGTTTGGATCTTAGAGAAAAAAATAAAGTAGAGGAACATAACCCGTTTAGAGCAAAATATATGTTTAAGAAGCCATAGATGAACGTACAGCGTATATGAATATGTGTACTCTTCATGTTATGTTATTATTTGTGTTTTAATCTAGATCATAAAGGAATATGAAAGAGCCATCATCTTTAGACTGGGTCGCATTTTACAAGGAGGAGCCAAAGGACCTGGTCAGTACTAGGATTCTGGGTGCTTGGCCTGGGGGCCGGATTCTTCATCTAGTTGATGCGAATTCCCTAATGAGGGTCCCTTATGGGTCGACTTAGAAAAGACTAACAATAGCGGTGGTGCGGGGCCAGCCGTGCTGCAGTCACCCTTTCCTTCCCGTGGCTCCCCTCCCCTTCCCAGCCAGCTGATAAGATTATTTTAGGCCAAGAATAGCTGCAGCCCTGGAAGTCTGAGCATAAGAATGCTACTCGCGGAAGGCTTTCTAGATTTGATTCTTTCTGCCTTATATTTGGCAAATGTCCCTTAAGCGCCTGCTGTATTCCAGGCTCTGGAAATCCAAGGGAGCCTAGAGTAGCGCTCCTGCCCTTAGGGATCTTGCCGTCTAGTGGATACCAACAGGGCGCGGTTGCATCCCACGGGACAGGTACTATGATCGAGTAATTGCAAGTAGCTGTGGACGCCAGGGACAAGGCCAGACCCCGACTAGTAGGATGAGACCAGGCTTTGGAGGTGTCCCCTTGGCTGAATCTTGAGGCATGGAGCGGTGTTCCCCGCAGAAGGGGCGCCTCGTGCAGGGCGGGTAGAGGGGAGTAAGGCAGGCCCGGGACCTGCAGCCAGCCCAGCCCAGCGAGAGCGTGGAGCTCGAGGAGGGGCGCCGCGGCAGGCCACGCAGGACCTCGAGCCACGGTCGGGCTCATAGTTCAGAAAAGGCTGCTGTGCTTGTGGCCGAGAACAGGCGCCCTGGGAGGGACGCCGGAGGACGTAGGACGACTTGGGAAGGATCGCACTGGCCCAGGTGACCAGACAGCCAGCGGCGGCGGCGGAGCAAGGAAGCATCCCGGCTCCCCCCCGCCCCCGGCGGCCGCAGGTTGGGGGAGAGTAAAGGCGAGGGCAGCGAGGCCAACGGGCTCCTTTCAGCTGGTCACGTCGATTCTGGGGGAGTGGACGGGTGCCGGGGTGCCGCTGTCTCTCCATAATGCCCGTGTTTCTTCGTCGCAGGCTTGTTTTTTATTCTCCCGTGCACCGACAGCTTCATCAAGGTGGACATGAGAACAATTTCATTTGACATCCCTCCTCAGGAGGTAAGGCGGTCTTGGCAGAAGCAGACAAGTCAGCGTCGTGCGTGAGAGGAGCTGGCGGAGAGAGGAGCGGGGCGCGGTGCTGCGCACAGGCTCAGAGCTGTGTGCGGTCACCGTTTTCTAGCTGCAGGACTTGGAGCAAGTTCCTTAACCTCTCTCTGCCTCAGTTTCCTCATCTGCAAAATAGAGGTTTTATGTATATATTTTAAATATTTTATTTATTTATTTGAGAGAGACAAAGCACAGAGGAGGGGAGGGAGAAGCAGGCTCCCCGCTGAGCAGGAGCTGGAGGCGGAACTCAATCCCAGGACCCCGGGATCATGACCTGAGCCAAAGGTAGATACTTAACCAACTGAGCCACCCAAACGCCCCTAAAACAGAGGTTGTAATAGCAGGACCTGCTTCATAAGGTTCTGGTGAGGACTGCCTGAGACATCAGATGGCCAGTGCCTAGAACAGGGGCTGATAAATCTTAAGTGACACATAAGTGCTTATGATTATCAGGTGTAGCGTAATGTTACCCTAAGTGTGACGTCAGCATGATCACATTTGTCGTCATTTTTACGGCCACATTTCTCTACTATGGGTTTCTGATAGGAAATCTAGCTCAATATAATACTCTTCTGCGGGTTCTTGATTTTATTCTAGATGAACTGGTTAGAAGCCAAAGACTTGGGAGCTTCTCATTTGGCACTTTAGATAAAGCATATAATGTTTTATAATCATAATTAGTCTGTGCTCTTAATAATGCAGTTGGAACTCACAGCAGGGGACCCCTGGGGGCTCAGCGGGTGGGCGTCTGCCTTGGGCCCAGAGCGTGAACCTGGGGTCCCGGGATTGAGTCCCGCGTCGGGCTCCCTGCATGGAGCCTGCTTCTCCCTCTGCCTGTGTCTCAGCCTCTCTCTCTGGGTCTCTCATGAATAAATAAATAAAATCTTTAAAAAAAAAAAACAAAAACAAAAAAAACAAAAACAAAAAGCCCACAGTAGGATCCCTGATCCCTGAGAAGCTTTGGCTGCCGTGGGGCACAGGGAAGGCACCAGGCTCCGTGGCCACAGTGGCAGAGCCGGGCCCCGCGTTCGGCTCCATACTAACCGTGGTCCGTGTTGGCTCCTCGTGGTTCGTGACGGAGCCACAGCCCTGCTGGGCTGCGTTTCCAGGGGTATCATGACCATTGCAGATGGGAAGCCTGACGGCAGGGGGACGGGAGGGACGGGAGAGGTCTGTCAAGTGTTTGCTGGCCAAGGGCCGGCTCTTGTCCCTGGATCCAGGAGCGGCGCGGGCACGTCCCTGCAGGCCCAGGGCCGGTGGGTGGCCGTCGCACCCTATGACCCACACAGACGCGGGACGCCGGGGATCGCTCTCCCACGAGAACAAGGCTAAGCTGGCCCGTGTTCTCTGCGTGTCTTCCCGTGTTTCGGAGAAGACGGCCTCCGAGGAGCCCCGCGGTGGGGCTGGGGGCCCTGGCGCCCTCCCCTGTCGCCACCTTCCCGTGGCTCCCTTGTCCCGAGCTGAGCGGGGCGGGCAGGCCTTTTCCCGACGCCCCGTGAACTTTATGAAGGGAAAGAAACGTTCCGCCCACCATAGACGGGCAGAGAGGCCACAGCTTTGGAAAGCTCTGGCTGTGACGGTCCCAGGGGCAAGAAATTGTTTACAAATGATACACATTCTCTAAAAAAAAAGAAAAGAAAAGAAAAGAAAAGAAAAGAAAAAAATGATACACATTTTCTTATCACATCCTGGGAAATAATGAATTTTCACATAAGATGGTAACACAGTAGTATTTTTTAAAGATCAGAAAAGACGAATGCTGCCCTGCCAGGCGGGCGCAGCAGCCATGTGACCCCACTGCCAACCCCGCTGCCGTCCCCGCTGCTGTCCCCGCTGCCCTCCCCGCTGCCGTCCCCGCTGCCGTCCCCGCCGTCCCCACAGCTCTGCGCCTCACAGGAGCCGCGGCATCCACAGGACCTTCGCCGTCACAGCAGCTCGCGTAGGCTTGGCCGCTGTCGTTAGCCTCATCTCACGATGAGGGCCCCCGGGCAAGCGCTCTGAAAGCCCCTCCATGGTCACCAGGGGAGGAGGTTTCGCGGGACAGCTCAGGTTCCTGACCCTCCCTGCACGCTCTGCATCAATCCCTGCGTCCCTAGGGTCGCCTCTCAGTCGGTCTCGTTGACTCACTGCGGACGGTCTCGCCAGGACAGAATGCCCTCCGGACGCGCAGGGCAGAGGGGCAGGTGGCGGTGGGCAGCGCGCCACGTGGGACGGTGCACAGGGCGGAGCATCGAGCCTGCTCCTTAGGGAAGCTCCATGGGGGAGACGCCCCCATGGGCGTGTGGGGCGTGTGGGGCACAGACCCGGGGACACTGGGGAAAGCGTGGGTTGGGACCGTGGTGGGAGCTTGTGGGCCCTACACCTGGTCCCGCGTGGAGCGCGGCCTCGGCCCGGCCGGTGCCCCGTGGGCCACACTGCCCGCTGCCCTGGGCCGGGTACGAGAGGCACGGATGTGCTCGTCCCCGAAGCGTTCTTACGCAGCGCGCTGTAAAATGCACTTTTTCCCCAATCGCATCCTATAACCGTGTCCCCGTCCACTCTCCGTCCCACTTTACTGGGCCCCTTAGGCAGAGTCCGTCCCCCGAGGCTCGGCTGCGTGCCACGCTGTCCTCCCTGCCTTGGATACTCGTGCCCCCCTCAACATTGCTTCTTCCTTCGGGCGTAGCTCAGGTGTCCCCCTGCCACCCACTGCTGTCCCTCCTTTGTCCATAAAGGCTCCCTTGATGCCCCACCCCCTGCCTGCTGCTGAATGGTGTCTCAATATTTGTTCATTGATTGAATTACCAGCACCGATGAATAAGTGAATGGGCCTTGTTAAAATTCTAAAGGCATCGTTAGCTTTCTGAGTCCATTTGGGCTGCTCTAGACAAATCCCATACGCTGGGTGGGTCACAAATAACTAAAATTTACAGCTCCTGGTCCTGGAGGCTGGAATCCAAGGTCATGTGCCAGTGGGCTCAGCGGCTGTGGGGGGGCCTGCGTCCTGGGTCATAGAGGACCCAGGATCAAGCTTCATGAGCCAGTCACATCCCAAAGGCCCCACCTCCTCTCGCCATCACATTAGGGGCAGGTTTTTGCCTCTGAATTTCAAGAGAACACAACATTCAGCCAGTGGCACTTACCAAAGAAAATCAGCCGCTGTTTTAAGATGTTCTGCAGAAGAACATTCCTTACAGTTTGATCAAAGAAGGATTTAGGGCACTGGGGCGGCTCAGTCTGTTGGGCGTCCTGGGACGGAGTCCTGCCTTGGGCTCCCCGCGCCTTTTCCTGTCTCATGAATAAATAAATAAAATCTTTTTTAAAAAAAAATTAAAGAAGGGGCTGGTTGGCAGACGTAGCATCGCGTTCTTTCCGCCGCAGATCCTCACCAAGGATTCGGTGACCATTAGCGTGGACGGCGTGGTCTACTACCGCGTCCAGAACGCGACCCTGGCCGTGGCCAACATCACCAACGCCGACTCCGCGACCCGTCTCTTGGCACAGACGACTCTGAGGAACGTCCTGGGCACCAAGAACCTTTCTCAGATCCTCTCGGACAGAGAAGAAATCGCACACAACATGCAGGTGAGCCCCCCCACCCCCACCCTGGGCTGTCAGTCGCCGGAAATTCAAGACGAAGCCCAAGGGTTAGTGATTGTTTGACGACTTTTGACAAATGCCAGTTGGGGGCTCGCAGGCCGGGCTTCTCTCTTCGCAGGGAGGTTTTCTCAAACTTGATGGAAGGGAATATTTTCTGGGCAGACAGCTCATGGGTTAACAGCTCGGCTGCATGCATGATTTTTTTTTTATTCCCCTTCAGTGTGTTTTTTTTCCCCCAGAATTAGTACTGATTTTTGTCTTTAGCACGATAGTTCCAGGGTCGTCCCGTAGGACAAGACCATGCAGGTGTGGTTAACGCTGTATTCTCCGCCCAAGGCCCAGGACTTCCCTTGCCACTCGTCTGCTTTCCAGTCTTTTTTGAGTAATAGATCATGAATCAAGCCTGACTTGTTCCAAAAAGATAAAGTACGAAAATCCAAGGTCTTTGTTATTTGTATAAATGTCATCGTGTGAAATCTATCACCTGGTGCCCGCAACGACTGCAGGGAACGGAAGCTGCGGTTTTGTTCCTCCCACCGTAGAGGAACGCGGTTGAGCGGGAGGAAGTAGGACGGGGACGCGGGGCCCTGGGGGCCGGTGGCGGGCGGCCCGCTGTTCTGGTCACGGACCTCGGGACGCAGCCATGCCGTCCGCTCGTGACGCGCTGCACGGTTAAGGAGTTGCAGGAGACGTGAAAACAGGCCATCACGGTCCGGCCCTTTTAGGAAATAAAAGTTGGCCGACCCCTGCTCGAACTTCGTAGCAATAGAGTCAGGATCAGCTCCCCGACCGCCACCCGCCCTCCTGCAGCCTTGCTTCCCGCAGAGGACGCCTACCCGCTGCCCCTCTGCACCCCCCGCCCCCCTGGCCCCTCTGCCCCCCTCTGCCTGCCTTGGGCCCCCTCTGCCCCCCTCTGCCCCCCTCTACCCCTCCTGCCCCCTCTGCCCCCCTCTGCCCTCTCTGCTCCCCTCTGGGCCCCCTCTACCCCTCTGCCCCCCTCCACCTCCCTCTGCCTCCCTCTACTCCCCTCTGCCCCCCTCTGCCCTCTCTGCTCCCCTCTGGGCCCCCTCTACCCATCTTCCGCTCTGTCCCCTCTGCCTCTCTGCCCCCCCCTGCCTCTCTGCCCCCCTCTGCCCTCTCTGCCCTCTCTGCTCCCTCTGGGCCCCCTCTACCCCTCTGCCCCCTCTGCCCCCCTCCTCCCCCCTCCACCTCCCTCTGCCTCCCTCTACTCCCCTCTGCCCCCCTCTGCCCCCTCTGCCCTCTCTGCCCCCCTCTGCCCCCTCTGCCACTCTGGCCCCTCTGCCCCCCTCCGCCCCCCTCTGTCCTCTCTACTCCCCTCTGCCCCCCTCTGCCCCTCTGCCCCCATCTGCCTGCCTTGGGCCTCCTCTATCCCCCTCTGTCCTCTCTGCCCCCCTCTGGGCCCCCTCTACCCCTCTGCCCCTTCTGCCCCCCTCTGCCCCTTCTGCCCCTTCTGCCCCCCTCTGCCCCCTCCACCCCTTCCACCCCCCTCTGCCCCCTTCTATTCCCCTCTGCCCCCCTCTGGCCCAGCGCCCTGCCCCTCCCCAGCCCGGGACCCGCCCCGGCCACCGGTGCGCTTGGCCCCGCATCGTCGCCGGCCTTCTCTCCTACCAGTGCACCCTGGACGACGCCACTGACGACTGGGGAATCAAGGTGGAGCGCGTGGAGATCAAGGACGTGAAGCTGCCCGTGCAGCTGCAGAGAGCCATGGCCGCAGAGGCAGAGGCGTCCCGGGAGGCCCGCGCCAAGGTAGGCTCGCTCGCCTTTCCCTTTCTTTCCTTTCTTCCTTCTTTTTTTTTTGTTCTTTGCCCTTTCTTTCTTTCTCTCTGTATTTTTTCTATTGAGTTTTCTTTTTAATTGCAAAACAGTGAAACGGTGTTACAAAAGTGGAAGTAGCCCTGGAGTGTTGGGTCAGGCTGACAGCCTCCCCGGAGCTTCGAGCCGCATCCCCCAGGGGCCGCCCGGTGACCGTGCGAGGCGGGCTCGTCTGATCGAGGGGCAGGGCGGCCTGCTGCGGTTACCCAAGCGGGTGCGCCCACGGCTCCCGTCGCCCCACGACTTCCTGGGAGCGCAGCACGCGGCAGAGCAGCCCATCCCTCTGCGGCTCCGCTCGGGGCCCCATATTTTGTGTTCCCAGGCCCCCCGCCAAGCACAAACTAACAGTTCTGACTTCAGAGCCACTGGGCGATCCTGTCAGTGTGCTTACCATTCACTCTTCCCCCCTTTTTAAAAAAGATTTTATTTATTTATTCATGAGACACAGAGAGGGAGAGAGAGAGGCAGAGACACAGGCAGAGGGAGAAGCAGGCTCCATGCAGGGAGCCCGATGTGGGACTTGATCCCGGGTCTCCAGGATCACGCCCTGGGCCGAAGGCGGTGCTAAGCCCTGAGCCACCAGGGCTGCCCTGATTTTTCTTTTTTTTTTAAGTGATCTCTACACCCAGTGGGTGGCTTGAACATCACAACCCCACGATCAAGAGTCACACGCCCTACTGACCCAGCCAGCCACGTGTCCCGCCTTCCCTATTTTTGTCTCCTCTTTCTCTTCTCAGGATCTTCTTCCTTCTTACTGTTCCCTCTTCCTCTCTGTCCTCATAACTTTTTTTTTCCACTCCTCTTTCTCTGATGTCTACTTTTTCCCCTCTTTCTTATCATTACCACCTCTGGAGCCCGCATGGGTGCATGCCCCCAGTGAGAGGTATCGAGGAAATATCGATCAACCTAACCCAGGAAAGAGGCTCTCTGGAGCTACGGGGTATCTCACCAAACCCAAGGTTGGGAAGTAGCGTCGTCTCCCCAGGACTGTCAGGGGCCACAGAGCAGTCCAGCCCGAAGGAAACTAACCATTCTGTTTCCTGGGCCCCACCTCACTGCTGACAACTTGAGGGCGGAGGGCCTGACTCCAGTTCAGCACGCCTTCCCCGTGGAACACTAACCGGGACCAACCAGCTTTGATCCCACATTCACGGCGGGGAGATTTCCTTTAGCAAACGTTTGGTTAAAAGGTCAAAGTCAGGGCAGCCCGGGTGGCCCAGTGGTTTAGGGCCTCCCTTCAGCCCAGGGCATGACCCTGGGGTCCCGGGATCGAGTCCCGCGACGGGCTCCCTGCACAGAGCCTGCTTCTCCCTCTGCCTGTGTCTCTGCCTCTCTCTCTCTCTCTCTCTGGGTCTCTTATAAGTGAATAAATAAAATCTTTAAAAAAAAAAAAGTAAAAGTCGGATATTAATAAGGTCCCACAGCCCCTTGCTTGTGAATAGGTGGAGGAAGAGGGTCAGTTCTCAGAGGAGGAGTTGCTGTGGGCTTGACTGATCTACTGAGATGCAAGGAGCAAACCAGTCTTTTCTGCTGGAAAATAGTAGTAGCCAGAGAGGACTGAGGCAGAACCGGGCCCTCTAGGAGGATGCCCTTTAAGCCATGGGGTGGGCACTGTAATTTCTTAGCCAGCACTGAATATAGTAGTAGCTCATTCAACACACTACACCCAGAATCTTCTACCAGCCAGAATGGTTAGGTTTTCCTAATGTGATAATTGAGCTCCTGAGGACAACCTGGTGATCCCACAGAGCCCTCGGGTGCTCTCTCTCAAAGTCATCATGTTTCGAAGACCAAGGGGGATTTCTGGTGATGCTAAATATCTCCGACTCTAATCTAGTTAGTATTTGGAAGATCGGGAATTGCTTTTCCCTACAATGTAGCGTTAACCCCCAGCGCCATCGCTAAGCCGTATTGACTAGAACTTAGGATACACAGATGACCTCGAATGTCAGAGCCCAAGTGGTCCTCAGAGACTATCCTCTGAAGGTGACAAATAACCTGGCCCAGATGCTGCCGCCCCCCCCCCAGCCTCCTATTCCCCTGCCAGTAATTAACCGCAGCATTGTTTTCCACTGAGCTTAGACTTGACCTCAGAAACCTTCTGCTGTGGTCCAGGTAACAAGCCTCAACTGCTTGGAATGGCCCTAAAAATAAAACTTGTTTGCCATCCCCCTGTTCAGATGAAAAAGTTGAAGCCCAGAAAACTTATGTGATTTGCTCAAGGTCACACAGTTGATTATTGGTGGTAGAAACTAAAATTCCCCTCTGTTCCTCACTATCCCCTCTCGGCTTTCTGTGATAGACTCAGCCTCCGTGCAAGTGTCCGCACCAGCTAGGAAAGAGAATTTCTTACAATAGCGGGAAGACGTAGAGGAAGCCGGTTGGAATGTTGAATTACTGCGCCTCCATTTGGATGAGACTGTAGGGACCTTCTAGAATAGTCTTGTGGACCTGGGCAGTGACTGTCTTTAAGGCTACAGCAAACGGATCCCCGGGTGGCTCAGCGGTTTAGCGCCGCCTTCAGCCCAGGGCGTGACCCTGGGGTCCTGGGATCGAGTCCCGCGACGGGCTCCCTGCATGGAGCCTGCTTCTTCCTCTGCCTGGGTCTCTGCCTCTCTCTCTCTCTCATGAATAAATAAATAAATAAAATCTTTTTTTAAAAAAAGAAAGATTAGGGCAAACACATAGAATCACAAGGAGTCTCTCTCCTCCGTAAAATACGGTAAGTAACCCTGCACCGACCGTAAGGCCATCTGTTCAAAATCCTATATTCAGGTTCTCGTGGAAAATAGGGAGTCTGTTTCTTCAACATACGAGCTGTGAAGGAAAAGGGTAGGAGAGCCTGTGGATTAAGAGACTTCAGAGAGAAATTCCTCAAGCTAATTAGCCATTGGGGAGATGCAGAGTCAGATCACAAGCAGATGCCGCGCTAGGCGTCCACCAGAATGGCTTCCAAAAAAAAAAAAAAAAAAGGAGGAGAAAGAAAAGTACCGAGTGTGGGTGAGAGAGGAACTGTGCTCATATTCTGCTGGTGAGACCGTAAGTTTGGTGCCTCCGCTTTGGAAAACCGCCTGGCAGTGTGTGCACTCGTGTGTTTACCAAGAGGCCCGCACTGGAAGGTTCACAGCAGTACCGTGTATCGCCCCAAACTGGGAACTGCCTACGTGTCCTAGGTGGTTGCAAGGATAAAATATGCTTTATTCATGCGAAGGAAAACCATACAAGGAAGAGAATGAACGTACAAGTCCTCGCAGACGTGCTTTGGGGGAAAGGAGCCAGGCACAGAGGAGGACGGCACCTGCCCCAAGCTGGACAGTGTGTTAGCTGGGCCTCTTCAAGTTTTTAGACCAGCTCCTATGCCCTTGAGATGCAATCCCTTTCACACTTACATCCTCCCTCATTTCCTTTCTTAAAACTCTCAGAAGAGCGCCCGGCACGGGCTTTCGGGTTCGTATTCCCAGGCCTGGTCACCTATTAATTGAGAGGGTGGAGGACAGACGTGCAGATCCCCGTTGTCTGCACTCCTCGGCCAGTCCGCCTGGGCTCCCCAAGGACCAACAGACCAACCCCACGTACCTGAAAATGCCCGGCTCTCCAGGGATGGTCTGTCGGTCCGAGGGGTTGATCAACACGGGTTTGCTGGGCAGACGCCCCACGCCCCACAAGCAGCTCGCTTTCCCTCCATGGCCTGGGCTTGGGGACAGCCCCGCAGGTGCTGCCTCCACACCGTGCCTGCCTGCTGGGCCTGGCCTCCCGGCCGAGAGTCCAAGGGACGGATGGGAGGAGAGGAGATAGCCTTACAGCTGGTCCGTGTCCAGACCAGGGGGAAGAAACCTCCAGACCATGTCCTTATTGGACATGAGATGACATGGAAGAAGCCAGAGCTGGTGCTCTCGGGGCAGGAGCTTGTTTCTGCACGCTGTACGCATGCGCCTGCCCTGGAGCACAGTTACCGGAGTCACCTGGCACCTGCCCCGCCTCACGCACCTCGGTGGGACGTGTTCGTTATCTTGAGAAATTACGGTTCTTATCCTCTAAACTGAGGGCCTCTCTCAGTCATACCACATCCCCGCCGTCCATCTCAACCCCTGCACCGTATTTCAAATTGTCCCTCCGCCCAGGACCCCGCGACGTGCGAGAAGGGCCACAGTGCAGGAGGACGGAGGCCTTGATCTCCGGCAAGTCAGGTGCAGGAGGAAGGACGTGCGGAGACTGGGCACCTGGAAGGGATTTCCTTAACGCTGCCTTGGTCGCTCCTGGAACGTTTCGTGTCCATACCCGTTTGACGTCTGTCGCGCGACAGCCACCTTCTAGAGGTTGACCACTCCCGTGTCCTGTTCCGTAGGTCATTGCAGCCGAGGGAGAAATGAACGCATCCAGGGCCCTGAAGGAAGCCTCCATGGTCATCACCGAGTCCCCTGCGGCCCTTCAGCTGCGGTACCTGCAGACCCTGACCACCATCGCCGCGGAGAAGAACTCCACCATCGTCTTCCCCCTGCCCATTGACATGCTGCAAGGCATTGTGGGGGCGAAGAAGTGAGCCCCAGAGGCCAACAGAGATGCGCCCTTCCCGGCCAGGGTAGGGCGGGGACCAAGTTAGCCCTTAAGCCGTACGGAGAGTAGGGCGAGCCCTTGACTATCCTTCCTCTTTCCTTTTCGTGTGTTGACTACAAGGTTCTTAGAATGTGTAGCGACTCTAGCGACAAAGATTGTAAGCTTGTAAACACTGAGGAGGGGGCGGGAGGGGACTGGCGACCTCTGGAAGGTAATGTCTTACTCCTTAAAATATTTAAAAGCCCATATATTTAGATCATTATGTAATAGGGTCAGTGCCCCTTCCTCGACCTTCACTGGGCCTCCTGCACCCCCTAGCTGCAGCCAGGCCAGAGGCAAGAAGACCGTGACAAGCACCACTCGACGACCAGGCCAGACCAGTGCTTTGCAGAAAGCAGTGACCAGCCTCTCTGGGCCACACGTGCCTTACTTGCGGGGAATCTTAAGGAAACCTTCCCGCCTCCCGCTTACTTTCTAAACCCAGGCCGTGTTTTAAAAGCATCCTCTCTCAAGAGTAGTCATTTCCTTCCCTGTCCCTGTCCACACTGGACAAAATCAGTGTCAAGATCAGTGAAAAAGATCATCTTCACCCTTGAAAGACTCTTAAACCCACCGTCACAAAGATCATATCCTGTAGGAATAATAAGTTTCTTCTCTTTCCGTTTTTGAAACTTCTTTGAGCCTCTCTAGGACCAAATGATTCCCCTGTGGTCTTTGAAACCAGCTACATACTTGTCACAAAAGTGCTTTTTTCCTCACTTTTGCCTATTTTCATATATCTGGTTCTAGGTGGTTTTTGAGCTTTTTAAACGAAACCCGCAAGTTCTATAAACACCTGTTTATATACCCATTTGAATAGCTTAAGGATTAATACTTTTTAAGGACATGTCTTCAGAAAGCCGTTCTATTTTCCTCGACTGCATGCTGTTAACTGTCGCACGCTGTGAAATACTTTGGTTGCCCACCCCGTTCATTGAATACTCTAAGGAATTCACGATATATTGGGCATATTAACAGCCAATGAGCTTGGGAGGACACCGTCAGACCTAGGATATATACAGGGATCTAGGGCGTCTTCTCTATTTGCGGGGTTATCTTCTGTCACCTGTGTCCGTGCTGAAAGAGGAAGTGGCCAGCCCCCCGTGAACCATAGTTGTTTCTCTTATGATATTAAGAAGCACCTTCAGTTTTGCAAATGCCCGTGAATCTGAGCAACCTGGCGTTTTCCTGTTGGTCTGAAAACCTGGCTGGTGGAGGCTCTGGATTCAGCTAGAGAAGCCTTAGGAAGGGCGGCTTCCGCACCCGGCCACCCTTCACATCTGTCCTCAGCCCCGGACTGCGGGCGTCCCTTCCCCGCTCCCCCATTTCCAAGCTTAATTTAGGAAACCCTGAGCCACGTACCCGGCTTCGCAGCCGAGTTTATTAGGTGTACGTGATGCATTTTGCCTTGGAACCTGAGTTACTCATTTTAAACAATGATCTTCTCTTTTTTGGTGGCGACCAGTGAGGACCAGGAAACAACCCCACATCCTGGCTAAAAATCTCTTCTCGGCTTAGAGGAGTAACAGTGCTTTCTGCTTCTTGGGTTTCCCTGTTTCCAGATACCAAACAGTCTTTACCCCTCTGCCTTGTGGCTTCATAGCCCAATAGGGTGGGATTAAATTGCTTAAGAGGGAGGAAGCATAAGGGGCTGAGGGGGAGCGTCAGTGCAAGATCCCTTTCCACGTGGCCTCTCTGCAATGCTGTACGTAATAAAGTGTGCACTTTTACTCATTTTCCTCGGGTGAAAGCCTGTTTCTGCCTGCATTTGGTGTCTGGGTTTCACTTTTCAGAAGAGGCACAAGAGCCCCTCCCGTCCTGGGCCGGCCACGTCGGCTTCTTCGTGTGCTCTCCGCAGGCCAAGAAAGGAGGAGAGGTTACATTCGTCCATCTGTCCTCTCTCGTGCAGGCTCCACGGTGCACCTGCACACACGTCTTCCCTGGGGAGTGGGACCCACGGACACCCCGAACCCTTCGCCGGGTTAATTTCCCTTTGTCCTCACCGTCTGTCACCCAGTGGTCTGTTGCATCCCCAAGGCTTTGCACGCTGCCCGGCCCCAAGTCCCTTAGCAGACACCTGCTGACCAGCCCAAGGTCCGACACAGGATGCAGAGGCCAGCCTCCATGCGCCGGTTACGGCGCCTCACGATGACTCACACGTTGCAGATGACAAAATGCAATTTAATTAAAAAATTTTTTTTGAGATTTTATTTATTTATTCATGAGAGACCCAGAGAGAGAGGCAGAGACACAGGCAGAGGGAGGAGCAGGCTCCCTCCAGGGAGCCCAACGTGGGACTTGGGGTCACGCCCTGGGCTGAAGGCAGATGCTCAACCACTGAGCCCCCTGGACGCCCCTGAGGGCAAAAATTGTTAGGAAGAGAAACTATGTGGTTGATGTGGTCTTGTTCTCAATTCATTATTTTGCCTTTGAGAGCAAAAGTCCACGCAAATCAGCGGCCCCAGGCAACTTCCTTTTTCCGAGAGCACCGTGCATGTTAAAGTCCGCAGCTGCCCATGAACTGCAGGTTCCCAGGAACGACTCTGAATGCCGGTAGAGGAACTGCGTCCAGGGGCAGGTCTACCTGCAGTTTGTCCCCCCACAAGTTTCCAGGGTGTGAGCCGCTTGTCTAGCTAGGCCCTCACCTGCCTCAGGGAAGACCCTGGAAGCTCCGAGCTGTAAATGCTGCTTTTGTTTGCATTTGTCAAGTTGATCCTGACCGTGAAAGTGACCCTTTGGGGTAAGTGAGGCAGGTCCAAACCCTTGAGCCCTGCGGCTGAGGTGCCCTGGGCCCTGCCCGCCTCCTGGATGCGAGGACACCTCCTCCGGCCGGGCGGCTGTTGCCTGTCCCTGAGCACATCCTGCCTCCTCGTTACTCCCTCTGTACTTGGGGCATGCTCCGCCCGAGAGGGCTCCCCGCCATGTCTCACCTGGAGAGTTCCTTCTCTGCTCCCCTTGTCACCTCCTCGATGAAGCAGGCTCTCGGGAGGCCGGGCCCCTGGGGCACCTGTGCTCCCCGGGCAGCTCTGGCAATGGCAGTGTAAACACCCCCTCCCCCCCAGCTACCATACGAACCTCCACATGGGCTTCCGCAGCCCCGGAACGGGGTCTCCCTCTGTAGCCGGTGGGGATGGGGAGGGCAGTGGCCGGAACAGGGTTGGGGGGGGAGATGGGAAGGAGAGACCAGAGGATCGATGCGAGGGAGAGGCCTGCCCCGGAGCAGCTCCTCACTCCGGTCGGGAACAACCACAGGGAAAAGGGTTAGAAAAGGGTTTTCCTCATGGAAAAGTCCAAGAGGGACTTGGTGACACCCTGGGCACAAACCGAGATTCAGGGCCCCCGGGGACAGGTGAGGCCCGACCAAGTCTCCACTCCCGCAATCAGGTGTCGGCACGCGGTGTGCACAGCGCTCTGGTTCGCGGGGGCCGGACGGTGGAAACAACGTCTGAGAGCCCACGAGGGACGAACGGACGCCACGTGGCGTGTGCACACACGCAGCACAGGTCAGCCACAAGAGGAGCAAAAGTGCGACATTTGCTACAAGATACATGAATCCTGAGAACATCAGGCTACGTGGAATAAACCAGGCACAGAGGACAAATATTGGGTGAAAAGGCACATTGGTGGAGACAACATCAAATAAAGGTTCGAGAAGCAGATGGGAGGGAGGGACACGGCGTCACGCCTGCGGGTGCAGGTGGGGTGATGACCCCGCAGGCGGATTTCACGCCACCCAAGGCCACTTGCGAAGGGTCAAGATGAAGATTACCTGTAGTTTACCACAATCAAAAATAGCAAAAATGGGACCACACGATTACAAACGTCTTTCTCCTGGGGGAGGAGGGTTTGCGGTGTTTTCTTCGGCTGCACCACCTCTACAGCGGGCGCGGCCTCGGGCAAGCTCTCTGCACCTTCCACCTCCTCCCGGCGCGGGATCCACGCACGTGCGTGGAGCTCGGCACCCTCGCGAGGCCCCCCGGGCGCCCCCAGAACCACCACCCGACGCAGGGAGCGCCAAGGGCCCGCACGCTTCAAAAGCTTTTATTGACTTCAATTTTCCAAAAGCACAGGTACTTGGGACAATGTGGAGAGGAGCCCGACGTTTCGCGCAGCAGGTCCCCGACGGGGCCCCTCAGGCCGCCAGTTCAGCCACGGCCCTCTCCAAGGGGTCCACAGACCAGTAGCTGTCATCCCAGCCGAGGAACCAGCCCACGAAGGAGGGTGGCTCGAAGCCCTGCTTCACGACGGTGATGGGGGTGCGCCGGTCGCGGTTCGCGGGGTCCGTCTCGATGTAACGCTTGGCTGCGGTGCACACGCGCGGGGACACGAAGCCCCGAGGCTGTCAGCGCCCGCCCGGCGCCCGCGGGCACCCACCCGGGCCCGGCTGCCCGCCCGTCTGCCAGCGAAGGGGCCGGTCCCAGTTCACCCCCCCGCCTCCCCACGTCCGTCGGCCTCCCCGTCCTGCTCCTCCCTGCCCGGTGCTGCCAGAGGCCCAGCTCCAGGGCTCCCCCCACCCCGCTCAGCGACCGGGCAGGGGTGCTGTGGCTCAGGCCGTGACCCCCGAGTCTGGGCCCGCTTCTACCGCGGGACCCAGAGCCTCAAGCGCACGTGCTGCTCACCGGAGCTCAGGGCCTCGGTCTTCTCCTCCTCCTGGGAGTCCTTTCCCACCCAGACGAAGACCTGCAGCGGGACAGGAAGGGAGACGGGCGTGAGGCCCCGGCGACCCGGTGGGCAGTGACGCAGGCACATGGAGCGCTAACACCTGGGGGGGGGGGCTCACACATAGGACAGGGCGGGAACCTGGTCACCTGCTTCGCACCGACACCGTGCTGTGCAGTTCACGGGGCGATCGTGTCTACATCGCATTTTACTGAATTCAGAGAAGTGAGAACATCACTCCCCTTGGAGAGGGGGAGGCGGGGGGAGGCGGAGGCCCCTCACAGCAGCACCCAGACCTTCCAGGAACTTGGCTCTTTTAAGTCCTTCCAGTGGCAGATCTTAGCACTGGAAGTGAGCCCCCCCGGCCCACAGCCCCCCCCCGGCCTCACCCACCTGGTCCCAGGTGTCCAGGAGCATGACATCATCGGTGGCCAGGTCCTCCTGCATGAGCTCGCCCGGAACCTCCTCGATCTGGGAAGGCGCAGAAGGCATTCACGAGGGCTCACCGGCCGGGGGGGGGGCTGTCCCTGTGCCCCGAGGGGGCAGGGGGCTCACCACGAAGCGTCCGATCTTGTTGGAGCAGGCGAAGAGGCGCGGAGGGTGGGCGTCCATCTTCCTGTCCTTCAGCCTTGGGGACGTGCGGTAGGCGGCCTTCCCGCCCAGGGCCTCCCAGAAGCCGTCTGCGGGGAGCCGCAGCGTTGCCGCCCGACCCGACCCCCCAGCACCCAGGCCCCACGGAAGCCCTCCCAGACCCTCCCGCGGCTCTCGGGCCCCCTCGTCCTCAGCGACAGGGACAGGGGCCGGCCTGCGGTTCCCCAGGCGGCCGGGGCGCTGTGGGACGGGGTAGGCATCCCTGCTCCCGGGGCCTCAGGGAGGCTGGCGGGGCCCCCGGTGCCACGCAGCTCGGGGTGGGGGTGCAACCCCGCCTGACCGCACCCCAGCCTACACGCGGCCCGGAGGACCCGATACAGCGAGACGCTCGGTCCTCCTCAGGGGCTCCGGGACCCCGGGCAGCGCCCCCCAAGCTCCTGGAGCGTCTGCTGCGCATCGTGGGGGGGGGCGGGCTCGGGGGGGGCACGGGGGGCAGGAGAGGCTCGTGCTGCCTGCTGGGACCGGAGCAGGCCTGTGGCCCCTCACCGACCATGGCCCCCTCTGAATCCTGCACTCGGGAGGGGCACGGGAGGGGCGAGCACACGGTTCCCCCCGCGCCCCCGGCACAGACAAGGGGGCCCACGCGCTGCACCTGGCTCCCACCTGGCTCGCTGCCTTCCGCCACCTGCACAGGCTGGGCCTGCAGCACCCGGAGCAGCTCCTGGGCCCCCGACTTCTCCGCCTCGCTGGCTCCCGCGCCCACCCACAGGTAGGCCGCCGACGGAGTTTTCAGGACAAAAGCATCGTTGGAGTTGAGTGCGCCCGCCTTGGGCATTATCTGGGGAGGGAGAGCTCGTTTCGTCACTGCCCAGGAGACGCCGCAGCGGACCAGCTCCCAGGTGGACGCCTGGTGAGCTCCTGTCCATCGCTGCCATGAGCCCTCGCACTGTGGCCCCACAAGGTGACCACGAATCTGGGCTTCGTTAACGGAAGCTGAGTGCCCCACACGACGGAGGGGATAGTCCCATTCCTCCAGGCTGCTCAGGCCATCCCGCAGGGTTATGTTCTGTCTGCACGTCCCGCGTGGAAGGGGTGGTGGCCACGTGCGACGTAATCGAGTGTCCTGCCCGTTAGATAGCGAGCTTCCCATCGCGGGAGGTATGTAAGGGGCCCCAGGCATCCTTGAGACTAGAGGGAGACTGGGGCTTGCGGGGCCGGGGAAGGGGCTGAAGCTGCTTCCTGACCCTGACGCTGACCCCGCTCCTGTGCCGGGGACGGCCCGTCTGTCACCTACGGGAGGTTCACACAGTGACCCCTCCTGGCGCCCGGCCCGGCCTTACCTCGACGGCTCTGGTGGCTCCAGAGCTGCTGGCCCGGACCTGGAAGAGGCGGGTGCTGGCGGGGGCCGTCTGCCCGCCGTCGCGGGACGTGCCGCCCTTGTAGACGATCATAGGTTTCCCGCCAAACAGGCTCATGAGGTGGGCG